AGGGCACCACAGGAGCCATCCATCCTGAGATATAAGGCAGATTAAGCTGCCAATGTCCACCAAATGTCCTGCCAGAGCTACAAAGATTTGTACCCAACAACCCAACACTTGAGATGCTGAGAGTCTCCAAACCCACAGACACAGACAAGGCCACCTGGGGGCCCTCCTTGAGTTTCTCCTCCTCAACAGCATCCCTCCGAGAAACGCACATGAACATGGGATGTCACAGCCTTGAAATGAAGGGAACAGACACAGAACTCTCAGCCAAATTGTGTGTGTTCTGGCAAGGCCTGTAACTCGGGGTCCCCTCGTGTCACTGACTCACCCTGCCCTGCTACCTCCACCCGGAGGTGGCTGCTGCGCTGTGGGGCCCGCAGAGCAGGGATGCACCCAAGGGAAGCTCCTTATCCTCCCCGTGACGTAAAGCTGCCCCAGCTCCCCGAGAGGCCCAGCTGTTGCCCCACAGCCTTTAAATTCGGCGTTGGCATCTCTTAAGACACTTCCTGGAACAGCGCTCACGGCCAAATCCGCTGCCGCGCTCCGTCAAGCGGCCGGCAGGAGTCAATAGCACGCCGTTCATCATGGGATTTGCCACAACAATGGCACACAAACAGACCCGGCCTGACGCACCGAAATGATGTCAAGCAAGTTAGCTTTGCCTCGGTTAGTCAGATGCTCTTGCAAAGCTCGGCCCTGTCCTCTCCACAGCCCTGGCTGTGCTCTCAGTCGGAGGGGGCTATGGAGAGGCATCTCTGCACCACGGCACTGGACACGGAGGACAGAGGAAGGGTTCCCGCATTCCCTGTGCCCCCAACCAAAAAAACCTGAACAATGATTAAAAAAAGCAAAGAGCGTTACAGATTTCAAGGAGTGACAAAGCTCCAACACTCCCATCCCTGGATCTCAGTGTGGCCCCTCGGCTTGGGAAGTTGAAGGTAACAGCACATCAATTTGTACTCAGTAACAGCCTGACTCTCATCAGCAGAGTCAATGCTGCATTTTGGTCAGTCCTGGCCGGGAAACACAGCTTTAGATTTGAGTATCAGGAATTTGAAGTACAGCAAACAGCATTTTTGCTTATTAAAGGACAAAATATTGTTAAAAAGAAATGCCACTAGAGAATTTCTACAAGGAAACTTGCTTGCCAATATCACCAGATAAATTCAACATGAGGTTTTCATTAAAAATTAGCTTTTAAATTACTCAGTTTCAGGCATGGACAATGTCAAAACCTGGCCTTTGGATACCTCTGACCTTTTTACGAGTTAGAAAACTGAGCTCAGAGCTAAGCTCCATTTTACAAGTGGCCCTAATTCCACAACAGGGGAAAACCCCAGCAAACTATCAAGTGGAAAATGCCCTCCAAAGTGCTATGTAAGGCATGCCTCGATTCCCAAGTTCAGCTCATCCCAAACTGCTCCAGAGAATAAGCATTTAAAACAGTTTTAATCCTAATTTGTGAAATTGTGTGTCGCAGACAAATTTTATGTTTATATTTATAAAAATGAAATGAGAAGTTTAATTTGAATTGAACAACCTCTCATTCAGAGGTGGGCTTGCCCACACAGACCCTGGCCTTACACAGTAAATCAAACTCTGCTCTCAGCCAAAACCAGCCTGTGCCTCAACTCCTAATCCCGAAGCCACAGGACAGCGAGCTCTTCCCAGCTGTGCAGCCAAGAGGCCAAGGGGTCAGGAGTCCCGGCGCTCCCAGCAGCAGCCCCGTGCCCGTTTCCCTCTCATGCACACCCCAGCGGTGTTGGCTGTGCTCACCTCCATCTGCTGCTCACAGAACTTGCTCTCGCTCCCAGTCAATTCAGCGAGAGTAGGAGCAGCCCCACGTCGAGTCCCAGCGCAAGATTTTATTGCTGTCATGATAATTAATGACTACTCACACTGAGCTTTTAATGAGTACCTGCACTTTTTTGTTTGTTTGTTTGTTAACTGGGTCGTAAAGGAGGAGTCCCGGCTGGTTTCCTGGATTTGCAGTACAATAGGGACCTCTACAGGCGTTTCCCTGCTCAGAGCAAGGCTCAGGACAGGTATGAGTAGCCACAAGTCACTGCGGACGCCACCGCGCTGTCCGTCACCGCGCTGTCCGTCACGAAACTTGCACTTTACCAAGTCTGACCCGTCTTTCCCCTCTCAACACTGCTGCTATGTTACTGACCTACTAGAGCACCACTGGAGTTCTTAAAAGAACTCACGGAAGAGTTATTGAAAAGGTTGGAAAAGTTTGATGCCTCTCCTTCAGGTGACTTTAATCCCTCCCTGTCTTAGTTCTCCACAGCACATCATTCCTGAAGCACTGCTTTGCTTCCTGGGGATGCTCTAAAGACAAATCCATTACGGACTGAGAACTTCAGGGGTCACAGGAGCTTTCTGAACTTAGTTATATCAATTATTTTGCCAAATTAGCCTTCTCCTTGTGGGATGCTTTGAAAGCTACAGTGTATTTCATGGACCAGAGATTAAACAAAACATCTAATGAGCGTAAAGAATTACAAAGCTCTAAAACTTTGCTGAGAGCCATATGATTTTTGGGGGGTTGATTTTGTTCTGTTTGATTTTTGGTTTGGGTTTTTTTTTTGCATGAAGTTGAGAGTCACTAGCAAGTAACCAGTTTTACAGGTAGTTCTTAGTACACAAAGCAGGACTTACACTCAGACCACATGACAGGCAGCCTTGTGCTGGCTGCAGCAGTGTAAACTGGATTTGTACTTTTACTATAAGTGGGATGGACCAGAAACCCTGCTGTGTCACTATCAAAACATACTCGGGGTTACTAAGAAAAAGGCAAAATCTTCTCCAAGGGAAAACTGTTTCCTACCTACCTGCTTGCCACTAGAGCTCAAAAACCTTCTCCAGGAGCCTCTGGCACTGTCTGCAGTGGCTGGCTGGCTCTTGGCCCAGGTGCTCCTGTGCCAGTGCAGCTCCGAGTGCGATCACGGCACCGCTGTTCACCACAGTGTGCCCTGGCAGGAAGGACTGTTTGGAAAGCACAGCCCTTTTTTCCCCAGGCTTGCACCTCCCTGTTTGAAACAGTCCTTGCTGGGATCAGTAACTGCAGGCCACCCACACGCCAGAGCAGGAAGTGGGTGTTGAATTGAGGGAGGTGTTCAAGTCACAGCCCAGCACACCTGCACAGCGGCTGCAGATGCCAGTGAAGCAGGCTGAGGGCTGGGTGGCTTAAGGGCAACTCGGCTTGAGATGCGCTGCAGGAAAAGCCAGTATGGTTCCACCAGCCAGGATCATGCACAGGGCAAGCGTTCCGTCCCTTGGAAAGGCTGATCCCGGTCTATGATGTCTCTGGCTCGGCCCTGTGGAGCTGGTGCCCCTCACAGCTGAGGCAGGCCAGCCTAAAAGCCACACAAACACAGGGACTCCTCTTGAAATGACAGTTTTTGGCACGTGCAGCTAGAATGGGAAGGAGAAGTTTACAACTCTGTTAATTATGCCATTACAGAAGGACTCTGAGCCTGATAAATGAGCCAGGAAAGATGATCCTGATCCTCTGACAGGCCAGTTCTGCAGGAAATTCAGCACCGTAAGCAGCAACACACCATACCAGGCTGGCAGCATCTGTCACTGATCAAGGCAGGGCTCGGCAGGGCTGACTCCACGCAGCCATCTGAGGCAGGGCAGGCTTCCTCAGCCAGGGCACTGCACCAAACTGCACAGTGAGTCAGGCAGGCAGGGATGCCTCAAACACAGCCTGGGCCTGCTCCGAGCCTGTGCTTTAGCATGAAGGGCACACAGCACCCAGGTGCTGAGGAACCCAGTTCTGGAAGCCTTGACACCATTTGGACAAAGAATGCTAAAATACAGCAAAGACCTCCGCTTGCTTGCTTCCTTCCTTCCTTCTTCTCATCTTTGTCTTTCCATTTTATTCTCATTCTACCCTGACACAAAGTCTCATTTTGTGTGGCACAGACTCATCTGGTGTTTCAGTCTCCAGCTTTTCTTCCACTAACAAAAAAATCTCAGCAAACTCACACTGGCAGCCCCTCCAAAGCTGCCTTGGGCCAGAAAGCCAACTGGAAAAACATATTTCACTATGTAGTCTCCTGATAAATTGTGGCCTTGAAGTAAACCTTCCTTTTCAGTTACGTTTAACTAAACATGAAAAAAAATTTAGTGTGTGTTTTCTGTAGGTACAGAATGTCTCACTGCAATGAGTAAATACTTTTGAAGAACAACTCCCATATCCTGTAAGGTACCTGCTTGGCCACTGGTACATTAAGGGTATAAAAAACATCAGTAAGAGGACATACAAACAGCTAAAACCAAACCAAATCCATCTCTCTCCAACAGCTTTCTTTAGGCAAGGCAGTGTCCAGCTGCTCAAACTCCTGCCCTTAGAAGTTCTTTAACAACTGCACGTACCCCCTGAGGAAGGTGTGTGCCTGCTCCAAGACAGAGCCTCTTCGATGGAGGAGGGTTGGTCCCCGGGGGGTGAATCCAACACTGGCAGTGTGCACACAGGAAGAGACAACTCGCTCTTGAGAGGGAGATGCACTCATGACAAAAACCCTGAGGTTTTTCATCCTTTGGATACTGAGCTCTAAACTTTTCTCTGAGATCGATAATAAAGATCTCTCACCTGTGTTTTCCTGACAGCATGCATGTTTTCAATAGGTATTTCCATGTGAGAGGGGTGAAGGGTGGGTTTTGTCTGTGCCTCAGTGTGGATGCACAGACTGTAATTCACATATGGTTGCCCTCTCACTACACACGTGTGGCACAGAAAACGTCGGGGCCACTACTGAAAGCTGAGTTGAAAATTGTGAAGAGCACAAGTTGTCTGGCAGTGGACATTTATAAAAGGTCAGAAGAATGGAAAGGAGCAAACAATGCAGAGATTTGAGGATTTAACTTGAGATGAAGAAGACAAAAAGGCTGAGTTGGGAAATGCTGATGTTGATGTGCAGAGGAAAGGACTGGTCTCAATCCAGGCATGTGCCGGTTGTTCCCTCTGATATGTGGGATTCCAAACAGTGTGTGATGTGCTGTTTTATTTGTTGGTATCACACAGAGAGCCAAAATGGCTCAGCTACTGACCAGGACCCCCATGTAAGAAGCCCCCTGAACTCCAGACCACTCGAGTGCCACAGGCACTTTTAACCCTTTCAAACTCCACCTTTCATTCACATATCAGAATTGTCACCATAGTCTCACAAATACACAGTTTTTTCAACAAGCAACACGCCTCCTGCTGTGAAAATTAATTCACATAACAAAGAAACTGCGCTTTCAGCAAGCCACCTGAATTTAGGAGCTGATATTACCCCACAAAATCTTCAAGTACCAACTGCCTTTCTCTGGAAGATGACTGAGCACAGCAGGTGAGTCTAAAACGTACAACAGCTGAAATGAAAACCTCTGAGAACCATCTCCAGTCTCGTCAGCACTGGCAAACACTCCAGCTGTCACTGAGAAGTCCCAGTTAGTGCCACCATCTTCAGAATCAATTTTCTTCTCTTTTCTTTGAACAAAATCTTTGTACCTTTGCAATTCTTTGTAGATGAGATGAAGGGAGCCAAGCATCCAATATGTTTGTCCAGGGTAGAACCAAATGCCCAAGATAATTTTTTTCTTATTTGAGTGGTCACATTGTGCTGATAATGTGAGGATGGAGTAGTCTGTTTCCTGTGTACTGAAGTTTTAGGAAAAATTCCAGCTTCTCTAGAAATTGAAGTCTTGTGCAGAAATCAGGGTGCAGCAAGGCAATGTTCTGCCTGAAGTTCCATGGATCTGAGGAGCTGCTGGATGATGTTTGGGATGAGAAAGGTTCTTTGTCAGAAGCACACTCCATAATCCATTCTGAGGAAGATGCCTGGTTCCTCTGCTCATGAAAACAATGAGAGCATGCCATGCCCAGAGGTGTCATGATCTAATTTTCCAGGAATTGCTTAGTCTCTATTCCTAAGTTTAAGAAAGCTTTTGCAAACCAGTCATTGTCCTCAGTCCAAAGCATTTTGGTTTTGTCCTTTATGGCAGCAGAAGCCTGTACTTGGCCCATTACACTGGAGGTAACAGCTGGGTTGAAAGAGGGATGTTTATCCACACACACAGCCAGCAGACACCAAAATCAGAATCCAAATGTTTTCTGGTCAGCACCTGATGTCCAGAATACAGCTCCACTGTGAGAGAGGTGGTGCTTTTCCTCCAGGAGAAAAAAGAAGAAAAAAACAAACAAAAAACCAAAACAAAACACACAAAAGACCAAAGCAGAATACTGTTCTAGGGCTTGAAATGACTGAAAACAGCTAAAACCAACCAGGTCCTCCCCTTGGCAAACACCAACCACAGGAGAGCGCCAAGAGGCCTGCCAGTGCCCTCAGCTGTTTGGACCTGAGCATGAGCCACCTTTACCAAGGAGAGGAGGTCTTTCTTCAACACTAAACGGAGCCTGTCAGTTCTGCAGGAGTTCCCTTCACATCCTCCTCTGCCATTCCCTCGAGTTCATCTCCTCTGCGAGGCTGGGGCACCTGTCGGATGGAGCAGGGGGGCCTTCCCAGCAGACCTTCCCCTCCTTTGCAGGCAAACTGGTGAGTGTCCCAGTGCCAGACCTTCACAGTGCCGTCTCGCCCACGCAGACTTTGTAGGGGGATTTCAATTTCCTGCATCTAAAACGGACACCATGCTGTGATTTTTATCAGACAAAAGCACAGCACGCTGAACAGAACCAAAGTCCAATCACCTAACTCATTCAGGCAGCCCAGGTGAGCCCCGCATCTCAGACAATCACACTGCTGACCCACTGGCAGAAGGGAAAGCAGAGGTAGAGTGTTAGTTCCCTTAAGATCACACCGCAGATGAGCAACAGGCAAGAACACACTCCCAGAGCCCTCCAGTTCAGGTTTTTGCAATCAATTAATTCAATTAATTGATCAATTAATTCAGATTCATGCAATCAGAAGGTTCCAGATCTCCCGTACCTCTTTCTTACGTAGCAGTAGATGATGGCAAGTATTCCACTGGTCAGTATTCCTACACCAATTCCCACAGCTATGTAGCGCTCGTAAGAATCATGTGCATATGAATTCAGTGTTAAATGTTCACACCTTTCTCCATTATAACCTGCAAGGCACCTACAAAATAAATGCACACCATGCAAAAGTTATTCAGAACTTGTTATGCTTTCTATTTCAGACGCATGTTAGTTTTCATCAGTTTTAAACAAACCAGAAGTCCAAATGAGGATGGGCTGAACCTGGTGCTCAGTCAGAACCTCTTCCCTCCACCAAGACTACTAATTGCCCCAGTTTATCTAGTTTAAAGCTAGCTCAAGTGCTGCAGTCACAGCAGCAACGCAGTCTCAACATCCCCTCATGGTGCAGGGTGTCGACTAAGCACTAACACTGTGCTCTGATGATCCTTACCTGCTGCAATGTCTCCCAAGGCCAAAGCTGCCCAGTAAGGATCCTACAGAATTTTAAGGACACCATGGTCCCGGATTGGTTTGTAGGTACTTGTGGAATAAGGGAGTTGCAGCTGACATTTTGGAAGATCCTGTCCCCTTCCTCTTGCCAACTGTGAAAATTTACTTATTCCTCTACTACTTACCAGCTGTGATTTGAAATGGCACCATGGCAGTGACCTCCAAAGCTGTGAATTCCCCCCCTCCCTTCTTTAGTCCATTTACACTAGCACAGCACTACAGGCTCTTTAGCAGTCCCGAGCCACCACAGCACTCGGGTCTGTGCCATATTTTAAGCTTGCAAGTACTTGACTGGCACTAAAAAGCTGCATTAGTACCATGCAGATAGAAACAATGGCAGTGCTAGTTTTGGAGAATAGTAAAAAGCAGCATTCTTTACTTGCATATGGGTTTCCTCAGCTCGCTGTGGAAAGCACAGAGCCCGTTGATACAATAGCTGTGGTGTTCCTCAAGGCAGGTCTGCATGAGCTTCAAGAGCTTTGGCTGCTCTGTGTAATCCACTGTGAAACAGAATAAAGTCATGTTAATTTTAGCACCAAAAAAATCACTTGAACGTACTTTCACAACTGAAGCAGAACAGCCACTGTGTGCAGCAAACACTTAATACATCGATTTTACTGTGCTCTGTCTCGAGAGCAGATTCAAGCAGCACGAAACAGAACAAGCTGCTGAGACATTCCAGCACGGCTTTGAGACAGCACAAACTGTAAATCATTGCTTGCTCTTGACAAATGTGTACAAACATGATAATGGGAGATTCATCCGGGGTAACATCCGCATTATCCAACCTGCAATCCAAATAGGAAAATCATCCCAGGAGTAGCAGGAGTTTAGGACACATGAAGAGCACTGCATTATTCTCAGTATCCTTCCCAGTTTGAATTCAAATTAATACTTAATTCATTTTTTCTTTTCCTGCTCACAAGACAAACTACTGCACTTCTAGCACTCCTGCCTGCCAGCTCTGCAGCCACAAGGGAGGATGAATGGTGGGACTGCTCCCTCCTTCCTCCACGTTCTAATGTTAGCAGAGTGTCCAATGACACTAGTAAGCCCCCAAGACTGCCTGGATGATCTTCCTGTGCAAAAAGCTCGGTCCATGGCTACCTAGCTTCTGAACTCATACAGAATTCCAGGTCAGCAGGCACACTTCCTGCACAGAAAATGCTACCTTTTTCTCAGCCATGGTGGCTCAAATGGGAATAAAGAAGCCACGGGAGCAGGGGTGCGGCAGGTGGAGGGAAAGCTCCAAAGCTTCACCGTCACTGCAAGCATCTGTTCCAACTGGTCCCTCTACTCAGTTACAGGAATCACTGGTGGGGTGGGGTGTCCCAGCAATGCCTTACTATTTCAGGGGACTGCTTTAGTGGTGGCTGAAGGTGATTTCCTAACCAAGTGCATGTCAACACCAGCTTTCAGTTATGACCACAAGAAAAATAACATCATGCAGGAAGGTGACAAGGTCTGCTCGGAGTGACACAACAATGGTACAGCAAGCAGAACCCTTCCTTTCTGACTAAGTGCTGAATCAAGGTCTGGAGATACTACATAGAACCACTGCCATGGACAGAAGCCTCAAGCAATCCTATGGGCAATTCACGATCCCACTACACATCTTTCAGGAGTAACATCACTGCCCCCCTAAATTCCACATCATATTCCAGTTCGAGACATTTAATGGCAGAAATCTCCCCTGTGTGCTCTGCTAAGCTGATTTTTCTTCCTCCTTCTGCAGCTTTATCACAGAGATGACAGGCGATGGCAGACAGCTGCTCTAGCTGAGGCAATTCACAACTTCAGCTGTGAATGATGTGGTTTGGACACCCAAAAGGCATGATGCTATCACTGATACTCAGATCAAACACAACCACTTTGAGAACAGTGCCCTCTCAAACCTGACAGAGTCATCAGACTTCCAGCTTAGCAAGAGGACTCAAGGAGAACAAGTAACAATTCAAATCTGATTGAGAAATGCCATGTTGGTTTACTACACTTCCTCAGGAAAAGCTACAGAGGTGGAAGAAACACATGTTGTTTTAAAACTAACTTCTAAGGGCTGAGAAAAGGCCATCTTACCCATTTTTGCAAGGGGAAAAAAAAATCACAAGTTTCTCTTCACACTGTGGACCCTAGAAACACAATGAAAGGGAACAAGTTGGTCTGGCCCTAGAATTCAGGTCTGACTCTTCTCTGGCTGGCTCCCAGAATGTTGCTGACAACCTCCAGGGACAGGCTCAGGGCACAGTCAGCACAGAACAGGCCTTGAAGGGACAGACTTCAGGAAGAAGTTAAGAGAGGACAGATGTCAGGAAGAAAAGACAGATCTTGTGACAAGAGATGGGTGACACTACTGTGCACGGGAGGACTGTACATTGCTCTCTGATGGGGAAAGCACAAAGGAAAACAAGGCATGTGGTCAACACAGCTGCAGAGTTGGGCTTGCCAAGGAGATGCAGGATGCAGGGGATCTGCAAAATCCCATTTTCAGTTAGGCCTAATGTACCTGCAGACCAAAGCTCTGCAGGGAAGAGTTTCAGAAAATAGGCAGTGGCACATTCACGTTTTCCCCAGGACTCACCTCAAACACTTGGGCACCAACTGTTTTGAATCTCCATTTAAGCACAAAGTGCAGTAGGAAATCACTAAAAATAACCCATCAAATTAAGCCTTTAACCTGCAGTTCCTGCCACCCAAAGTACTACTCTTCTGCTAGGCCCTGAGATGATGCCTATTGCACAGGTTTAATATTTCACTTCTATCTCTGCCATAAAGAAAAACAAACAAACAAACAAAAGAAACATGTGGAAGGTACAAATCCACACTGCAGAGGCATGAAATCCCCAGCCACCTCCCACTTCCACCGCCTGGGTTCCCACATCCTGAATCCCTCCTCACTCACACCAGCACTGCCGAGAGGTGGCAGCCTTCTACTACCAACGCCTGCAGGAAATCTTGCTTCGTGCATGCCCGCGATCCTCTTCCCTGAGTGCTGCTGTTATTAGAATCCCAGGTCAGCCTGGAACAGCAGCCTGCCTAGAAAGCAGGAGACAAACCAACACATTCCTCCGTCGCTGTCAGGAGGAAGAGCTTGGTCCATTGTGGGTTTGCAAATCAGATATTAAGTCTACACACAAAAACTGTGTGTGCTAATTATTTTGGCATTGCAAAAGTACAACTGACCTCTGAAAGAATGAGTCTTGAAAACAAAAAAGAACGCTTTTCTAACCCACCCCAGAGCATTATGCTAATTCCTATCATACTGTCCACCTAAATACTAAACAAGCTGTGGAATAAACACGTCCATGTGCCCTTTCATGTCACGTGAGGAGAGCGAAACATGCAGTGTAAGCACTTGACAGCTGCCTGCAACTGAGTCATTCAAACAGATACAGCTGGCAAGAGCTGACATGAAATCCAGGCTACAGGCACTTGGAAGCCTGGGCTTGCCAAAACTGACAGACTGGCAACAAAGAGTCAGCCAGTAAGCCCAGGACAGCTCAGCCCTCAAATATGGTGCACCGGAGAGGAACGGGCGAGTCCAAAAGGGGAGGGAGGGAGGGAAGGGGTCAGCCACAGGTTCAGAGCCTCCTTTACAGGCTGCACGGAAAAAACAGCTGACAGCAACGAAGGGATCCCATTTTTTCCCCAGTGAAACCAAGCCCTTCCCTACTCCTGGCTGTCCATTTTGCTGTGAAGGCTCTGTTTCAGCCCCAACCGTGTCAGAAGTTCTGTATTCCTGCGGTGCCATTCCTCCCTCCTCCTCTGCATGACCCTTCCTCCCACAGCTGATCACTGAGCCTAACATTCCCTATCCCCAGTGCTGGTGACAAGTAAAGCCTATGTAACATAAATAAGGGAAAAGGACATGATCTTGTAAATAGGAGGCAAAGGGATTGAGCAGAAATTAGTGATTTTCCACAAACTGCACCTCAGTCTCCAGAGGACTTGAATCCCACAAGAAACTGTCAGTTCCTCCAGTGGATACTGAACCAGGAATTCATTTTTTTTAGAATCCACTATTATGAACCCTGGCTGTAAATCTTACTATAAACTTACACTGCACAGGAATAGGAGCTACCAGGAAACTTCAGAGAGATTCAGCCAGTTTTTCTGGTGGATTTCTTTTCGAGCTTCCTTCTGGAAATGCTGTTTTCTAGCTTTTCTGTGGCTTTGTAAAAGGCCCACCGGAATATACTTTTAACTCTTCACATAAACGTGTGCTTGAATGTTTTTGAATTTGTTTCTACCTCTGAGTGGAACAGTCTCTAAGGGAAATGCTGGTATCCTGTTGACTACCACGGCCCCAGCTGTCATAAAGATTCACAGGACAACTTACAGACATGGCTGTGACCCTGTAAATAAGTCTCCTCTCTGTTAAAACATGACCCATCACTGCTGCTTTCTAGAAACAACACAAACAGGACACTTAATGAGCCACAACATATTTCCACTTCATTATCCTCCTGTTTGCTGTATGCAGCTCTGCAAGAACTGTGTCACACACAGACACACTAAACCAGACCACAGTGCTTGAGCTGCTAAACCAAAGTACTGCGGTCAAAAATCAACACACATGCATATGTGTGTGCATACATATTTTATGTACATATATATGAAACCCACATATACAGTATGTGTATGGCTGAATGTATATGTAACACTGTACCACTGTGACAGATCAGAAACAACAACAAAGCAAGCTTGACTTGTTCTAAGAAAAATAAAAATCTTATGGATCTACTAGAAAAGCTTGGAAGACATCCTGAGAGGACTTAGAATTAACAGCAGATGGTTTGTGTGCATATTTATGTGCTTTCTAAAGTGCAAAGACATTAATAAGTATCACAGTTAGAACCCTTTCCTCCTTTACTGACCTGCCAAAACCTCCGACCCAGATCGCAGAGCTCTCCCAAAGCAATGACATCACCAGCACCTCAAGTAACATCAAGAATGCAGCTGGCAGGATAAACAGTGCTCTGCTCTCACATGTTGGCAGGCAAAGAGCTTGAGTTCACATTTCAGTCAGAAAAAAGAAAGGAACAAGGGAGAGAGCCAGCACTCTGAGGAGGGCTGTGGAAGCCACGACAGCCAAAAGCAAAACTGCAACAAAGAAAGAAACCACTGAGTAACAGTCATGAGAGGTATTGCTTGAAGTTGTGCTTATTCATTCTCACTTCTGCACATCAAGGTGCACACTGAAGACAGATGGAAACCAGGCACCAGGTAAAAGTAACAGAAGTTGCCATTAGAAACACAGGTCATCTACCCTAATTAGCCCTGTCTTCTTCAAATTATAGCTGACTTGGGTTAAATGATCCTTCAGCTGGTCATCACTGAGCCTATCCCAGCTGGGTGGCAGCTCTGAGTACGGAGAGGTTTCAAAGGCTCCATGAAGAAAGCAGCTCATCTCACAAATAAAACACACAAATCCAACAGTGTCCAAGAGACAGGAGCACCACAGCAGCTAATGCCATAGATTTTGGTGGGTTTTTGTTTGGGT